AAAAAAAAAAAAGTAATAAATAAATCATATAATACAAAAATCAACTATTCACATTTCAACTATTTCAATTTTCCGCTTTTTCCTTTTACAAATTTAAAGTGAGACAACACAAAACACTGCAAACTACGACACAATTAAATATAAATTATAATATGAAAACAAAAAGAACATGCATATTCTCTGTCATATGGGCCCGCATGAATAAACTTTCTGAATCCTTTAACATCCACAACTGAAAATAGTTGTGGATGATTACTATACCTTTCTAATGTGATGTTGTCGTCCCTGGCTCTCTTTCTCTGTCTCTCCCTCCCGCTCTGTTCCTGCACTATTGAGTGCAACTACCACCCCTCCCCCCTCTGCCCAGCATAAAGCACAAGACTCGCGTGCAGAGTGAAGCGGAAAAAAGTGCGAGAGAGAGGGTGAGAGAAAGAGGGGAGGGGGGGGGAAATAAAAATTTTTAAAAAATGCGACGGTCGCGATAAGGAGCCGGCTCGCGTCGTTCACGTCAAAGAGTCGGCTCTAAGAGCCATTTCGTTCGCGAACGACCCATCACTATCTGGTGGACTGGGGAGAGAATCTTGTGGTAAGCCGGGCAGGCCAGCTGTCACATTTGGGGGATGAAGGTGAAGTGTTTTGAGGATGAAGTCCTGTAGGAGTGGGTGAAGGGAATCCAGCAGCCAGGGGTGATTGGAAACTAGCCGCTGTAGTCGGGCCTCCAGAGCATGACGAAATTCCTCCCCCTCATGCTCTAGCCACAGATTAGTCCATCTTGAGACTGAATCAATTAATTCCTCCCGAAGCTCCTTGGAAGGTGCGAATGCCGCTGGGTCCATGTTTGGCCGGTTCGTACTGTCACGGCTGCCGAGGCGAGCAGTGTGGTGTTGAGGGAAAAAGGACCCAAAATGCAGGCAGTCGATGATAATGCTAGTGATGTTTATTTACACGGTGGTATAGTGGCAAAACAGGCAATGAGGGATGACAAAACTAAAGAAACCTAAATTGGGAAAGCTAAATAACAAACCTGAGATGATACCAGAACGGGGTGAGCGGCAGAGCGTCGCAGACGAGGAACAGGACACCGTGGAACACAGACAAACCAGCAACAGGCCGGAGAACACACAGGGTTTAAATACACATAGCAGCAATCAAGGGATGAGCAACAGGAGGGGAACACACCTGGGAGAAATCAAAGCTGACAGGACAGGGGAAATGTAAACTGAACACACTCGCATGAGACAGAGACCTTCAGAATAAAACAGGAAACTCACAGACACAGAACCAGACAAGACACTGAACTAAACAGACAGATTCACAAGAAAGACAGTGTGACACCATGGACAGACGGAGGGAACACAGAGAAGTGGGAGCAGGCAGGCACAGAACATAACCTTAACAAATGGCAAATTATAACAGAATACATACTCAGAATAAACAAAAGCATAAAGAAACACAAAACACTGAGTCGGCAGACTCAGGACCATGACATGAGGAGGTCCTCAAAGTATTCCTTCCACCACCACCTGACGATTTTCTCAGTCGCAGTCAGCAGCACTCCACTATACACAGTGCAGGTAGAACACCGCTCCTCCCACACCCGAATTTTTGCTTCCGCCACCGCCCGCGCCGCATTCCGCTTGGCCTGTCGGTACCTATCAGCTGCCTCCGGAGTCCCACAGGCTAACCAAGCCCGGTAGGACTCCTTCTTCAGCTTGGTGGCTCCCCTCACCTCAGGTGTCCACCATTTGGTTCGGGGGTTACCACCACGACAGGCACCAACTACCTTGCGGCCGCAGCTCCATGCAGTGTCTTCGGCAATGGAGGTGCTGAACATGGTCCATTTGGACTCAATGTCTCCAGTCTCCCGCGGAATGCTGTTGAAGCTCTGCTGGAGGTGTGTGTTGAAGATCTTGCGGACCAGGGCCTCTTTATTCACTACTTGTCACGAGTACAAAATTACACAAAAACAGACAGCAGCAACAACCTAAGTGAAATCCAACAACAGAATAGTGGCAAGTAAAAAAATTAACAAAAGGAAGTGTGAATGTTGTTCAGGGTTAATCAGAGATAAGTGATGGAGATGCAGCAATGTGAATTCTGCTTTTTTATTTGTAGTTAACCTTATAGTCTTTACATATGAATGGAAGTCAATTAAGAAAACACAGAATTTTGGGAGAGATTTGGAGAACCTTACTTTATAAAATTTCCCTACAAGGAGGCCTTTCTGCATTCTTTTCCCTCTCCCCAGGAGCAGCTGTCACTTGAATTGATCTCTATGGCAACGCAGTGGCAAGCACACATTTGCAGCAGCTGTGCATGTGCATACAACTGCATGCAGCAGATTAGATGATCAGAATTATTGAACCTTACACACAGGCAAGTCCCCTAAAAAATCAAAACCATAATACTTTCACTGGTATCATACTGACAAATGATACCAGTGAAAGGTTGGACATAGGTTGGAGGAAAATCTGGAAATGGTTGGCAGTGAAAGAGTTAAAATGTAATGCACTATTGCAACCAACCACTGAAAGAGTAAAAATACACAAACAGTATGATGAACCATTCAAATCACATAATACAGTAGCACTACTGCTAATGTGTTAACGGTAGGTATAACTACTACCGCAATTTTAAAAA